CTTCAAATTCACATCAGCATCATCATCATCATCATCATCATCATCCAGGAGCCTTCTACACACACACCTCAGAGTAAGTGTACTTTACTACCTTTTTTGTTGACTTTAGGCAATTTTCGGTGAGCTGGAACCAATTACCCAAAAACCCATTGAAACAATGGTTTCGGTTAACGAATTTTTCTGTTAACGAGCAACCTTCTGGAACGAATTGTGCTTGTTAACTGAGGGACCACTGTATATGATTTTTTTTTTTTATCATTATTATTTGCTTATTAAATTCAGCTTGACAATTCAACATTTTTTAGTGTGTGTATTTTGTCTCCTGAGAGCTTAATAGTAGCAGTCTTCAGGGGTGAAACTGAACAAGATTTCTTCTGTCACTTGTCACACATACCAGTACATTTCTGCCATGAATTATTATATAAGGGAAGAAGTGCAGTGTTGCTTATCATATCTTTAATAATTGACTAAATGCACACAAATTTTAATCTGTTCACAAATTATAAATTGTAGATAGTATTCTTCCTGTAAGAGATTGTCATTGTATGATTAACACATTGTTGTACATACAGGACAATCTATCACTAACACGTTGGTGCTTATTTATGAGTTTTGACCACTGACAGATGGGTACAGGTAGGTGACAATCTCCTGTTAAAAGATGTTTGTACGTATATGATAGTCTACTACTGATAGATTACTTGGAGATTACTACCCATAGGTAATATCCTAACACTCGGAGTTTGTCTGATTGTTGCCCATAGATTCTGATTGATGTGTGAGAGATTATTGCACATATGTAATGATGTGACCTGAGATTATTGCACATGTGTAATGATTTGTCAGATTGTTGCCCATAGCTTCTGATCTGTCAGAGATTATTGCACATAGGTAATGATCTGCCATGAAGAGATATTTTTATCATAAGTCATTGTTTGTCAACTAGAGATTGTTGCATATCAGTATTGGTCTGTCACTGAGAGATTCTTGCACATTAAGAGAATGTTGCACAAGTAATCATCTCACTAAGAGATTGTTACACAAAGATAATTATTTGTTCCACAACAGTTGTTGCACATAGGTCCAGCAATTTTCTGCAACATAGAGATTGTTGCACACAGATAATTATCTGCCACTGAGAGATTCTTTAACCTTAATAATAAAATGCTCTACAAGATTGTTGCACCTCAGTAATGATATGTCACTGAGAGATTATTGATGTTCTGTACATGGGTAATGATCTACATCAGTGTCTCTTGTGTACATGTAATTATCTGCCACTAAGGGATATATGTAATGATCTACCATTGTTGCATGTAGGTAATGATCTGCCACTGACAGATTGCTGCACATAAGTAATGATCTGCCCCACAGAGATTGTTGCACATAAATAATGATGATCTGCCATGAAGAGATTATTTCACATGGGTACTACAAAGAGGTTCTTGCACTTGACGAATGTATTGTGCGGCTTAAGCTGTTCAAATGAAGAATATTAATAAAGTGGTTTTGATTACTTATTTTAGTTGGTGTTGGTGATGCCATGTTAAAGGTGAGCACTAGAAGGTACTTGGTTATTGTGGTTGGATGCACTTTCCTCTGCATGGGGGTTTATGGCACTTCAATTGATGGTCATTGTTCTCTCTTTCTTGCCATAATGTTCCTTGCATCGACGAGGAGAGTTTATTTATTATCCTCCTCTATTTATTATTACAATCTTGCCCTGCTACAATTACTGCTACACACCATGGGGGGGGGTCCAAAAACAATCCCACACTTTCCCTTGTTCCTGCAAGCACACAGACACATTACTAAAGCTCATTTCATGAACTTTGGTGATCATTAAATGTTAAGTAGTAGTCATTAGATTGAGCTCCATCTGTTGTTAATTGTGTTTGATTGGCTCCAGCTTGAAGTGGTCTCTGCTCTTGATTCAGTCGCTCATTAGCATATGACAAATACCATTGTAAAAAACTGTAGGGTAGGTAAACTCTGTGGTATCTACTGTAGAGTATATCCAAGAATAAGACCGACTTCTCTCATATTTGTTTTACAGTTACTCTGTATTTATAAAGGTGTGCGCTCTTTGAATATTGCATTTTAACTTTAATTTAAAAATTTTGATAGAGGCTCTTAAAACTTGATTCTGGGATTGAAATACTGTACAAAAAAATCTTTGCTTCGATTTACGTATACAGTACTGTCTAGTTTTATTTAAAGTAAAATGGAAATAGAGTAATGGATGAGAACCAGCTCATGCTTTGATGGGTTATTTTGGCTAACTTTGTAACAAACAGCCCAAATATACAGGTTTGTCATATAAATTGCTTGTTCCTCCGTTTATAAAAGGGTGTATGTAGGTACCTTAAATATCAAAGAACAGCAACATAAAAGTAAGTAACATCTACTCCCCTCTTCTTTATTATGGCATCATACCTGGGCTTGTCCCTCTGGTGGTGGTAGCTTTAGTTGACTGTGCCTGCATAGAGAGGTGATACATGAGGTGTGTGGAACGGCACAGACGCCACCCGTGTAGCAGCCGCTAGAGCCACAGCTCAATATTTCCCACTACACAACAGCAGATGGACTGGCACAGTAAAAAAAAATGGCTCATATATTTACTACTTGCTACATTTTAATAAATAATTATTTTTATCTTATCTGTGATGCTTCACTCTCCTAGGGAGCTCCCCATTGAGGGGAAGGTCATGACAGAAGAGCCTCCAGGCTTCCTGCCCACTATATATATTTTTTGCCCTCTATTTTTCTCCCCATTCTCTCCTTAATGTATTGTTCCACACTCACCTTCCATGATGTAAGTGGTCTCCCTCTGCCCAAAGTTGCTGTACCTTTACACATCCTTTTCCCGTTCTCTCCTTTGGCATCCCTTTCATATGTCTGTAATGAACTCGGATAATCATTTTCACCCATTCCAGCGCTCCATAATTCACACCTTCTGCCCTCTCACCCAGTCCAAGCATCCCATATACTTCACTATTTTTCGCCCCTTCCATTTTATTAAGCCCAGATGCAGCCCTCAGGTAACTCATTTCTGTAGCTTGAATTTTAGAGCATTCTGCTTTACTCCAAGCCTATGTTAATTAATCAGTAGGGGAAAAGTTTCACAAGACTGCAAATGGTAACCAAGATGAATGAACAAGTTGAGACTGATCAATTAAAAACATTCTGGTGAATATTGTGTGTGTTTTATGGGACATGGAGCATGCCTTAGTTGTAGTGCAATGGTGAAACATACCCACTTACATAGTGGTTTACATATGGAGCACTTGAGCTTAGGGTAGAATTATTAATTTTAAGAGGATGCTTTCATCTGTCTGGGTTGGACTGCTTCCCTCTACGTGCGTGCGTGGGTTGGGCTCCACACTTGAGAGCGGGCCACCGTTGCTGTGGCTGTTTTATGCTAATGGTGTCCCTACTACTGTGACTCCACTCTATGTGTTGCAACCCCCATGAATCTTAGCCTACTACATATTGAAGAGTGCACTCAACCCCCGTAGCAGCCTGCACCGTATGTCCAATTGTGATTCAAGGCTTGGCTAGTGTTTGGCCCTGGAGGAAGTACCGGCTACGGCAGCAGGCCTCCTCTCCTTCCCCCCCCCCCACCAGACGCCCGTGACAACCACCACGTACTGTAGTTGTCACTACCAGTGATCACCATCACTTCTCTGGCAGACCATACCACATATATACCACTGACAGGCACACATACAGTACTTCATAAGTAACACTGTACTAGCTGAAAAAAATAAATGTACTCTACTGCATTTTGTATGTTACTGATATATACTGTATTTAATACTACCACTTAGAAAAAGTCTCTCTCTCTCTCTCTCTCTCTCTCTCTCTCTCTCTCTCTCTCTCTCTCTCTCTCTCTCTCTCTCTCTCTCTCTCTCTCTCTCTCTCTCTCTCTCTCTCTCTCTCTCTCTCTCTCTCTCTCTCTCTCTCTCTCTCTCTCTCTCTCTCTCTCTCTCTCTCTCTCTCTCTCTCTCTCTCTCTCTCTCTCTCTCTCTCTCTCTCTCTCTCTCTCTCTCTCTCTCTCTCCCTCTCTCTCTCTCTCTCTCTCCTCTCTCTCTCTCTCTCTCTCTCTCTCTCTCTCTCTCTCTCTCTCTCTCTCTCTCTCTCTCTCTCTCTCTCTCTCTCTCTCTCTCTCTCTCTCTCTCTCCCTACCTCTCTCTCTCTCTCTCTCTCTCTCTCTCTCTCTCTCTCTCTCTCTCTCTCTCTCTCTCTCCTCTCTCTCTCTCTCTCTCTCTCTCTCTCTCTCTCTCTCTCTCTCTCTCTCTCTCTCTCTCTCTCTCTCTCTCTCTCTCTCTCTCTCTCTCTCTCTCTCTCTCTCTCTCTCTCCTCTCTCTCTCTCTCTCTCTCTCTCTCTCTCTCTCTCTCTCTCTCTCTCTCTCTCTCTCTCTCTCTCTCTCTCTCTCTCTCTCTCTCTCTCTCTCTCTCTCTCTCTCTCTCTCTCTCTCTCTCTCTCTCTCTCTCTCTCTCTCTCTCTCTCTCTCTCTCTCTCTCTCTCTCTCTCTCTCTCTCTCTCTCTCTCTCTCTCTCTCTCTCTCTCTCTCTCTCTCTCTCTCTCTCTCTCTCTCTCTCTCTCTCTCTCTCTCTCTCTCTCTCTCCCTCTCTCTCTCTCTCTCTCTCTCTCTCTCTCTCTCTCTCTCTCTCTCTCTCTCGTCACACTTTAGCCACAATGTCAACTTATTCTTACACAGTGAAACAATATCATCATTGACATAATTTTGTTAAACCTTGGGAGTCATAGATATTTGGGTAATGAGACGATTTTTATGAAGGAATTGTTAAGTACAGTACTAGTGGTAGATGGTATGGTGTGTTAAGTATGGAAAGCAGGGAATGACAGCCTGCCAAATTACCTTGTTATTGGTGCATCTCGGGCCTCTGGAACTAGGAGAGGCCTTTGTCCAGTGCCTGCCGTCTGAAGTGAGTTGTGCCTGTAATGTATGTTGATCAATTTTGCATGCCTCCAGCGGCGGCCCTCCGAGGTGTTGCGATCCAGCGTGGCAGGGCTCGGACGTATCCGGCCACTGCCCTTGCACGTCATTCCACCCCACTAACAGCTGCCGCCACAGCTCTGCATGGCTACACACCGTAAGTTTTAGTCTCAGATGAAGACAGCAGCTGCATCACACTCCTGAAAGACACTATTCAGCAGCAGCCACAGTAGTGTTGACCTCTACATGATGGAGCAGTCACTCTTTGGCCTACCTGGCTGCTTTGGATGCGTTTGTCCCAGTCATTTCTTATCATACATATTGCTGATGACTTAGTGTTTATTAGTATATGCTGTTACTACATTAGTAAAGTTATAATTAATAGTCTTATAGGATACCAAAAGTTTTGACTTCACCTTTTCCCGTATGAGCCTTGATGGTAGCCCTTGAGATCAGATCTTACAGCAGCAGCACTG